CTTCCGATCTGCCCAGATTCTGCCTCCACATGGTGAAGCCTTTAGAGGGAACTGACACTGATTCTAACCACTCTAACAGCTATCAAAATACCTGAAAGCAAATCCTGAATCCATCACTCTAGAGTGATGGATTGGAAGAGAGTAGGAAAAATGAGGAGGAACCCAATAGAGGGATGCTTTTGGAAGCCCTTGTCAAGAAATTCCAACGGACTCTCATATGAACATTTGAAAATTGCCTTGTTCTGACATTTTCTAGTTCCCTGTCTAGAACTTGTAATGCTAAATTACTCTTGCCTTTACTTCTCCTTCACATCTCCTATTCAGGATTCAAAGACTTTCCTTTCATCCTCGAGATAAGAATTATGCAATTTGGGAGTCTTTTAGATAGACCCATTGAAGAGGTATTCCAATTGCTTCACCCTCCTTCCCTGTTCAGCATGGAAGAAGCCAGAGTGGTCTGTGCCTCAACTCCCTATTGGCAATTTGGGTAACCCCTTCAGAGGATGGGGTGATAAGAATAGGAGGTAGGAATTGACTAGGCAGTTAGGGTAAAAAGACCCCAAAGAAAAGTAGCCAATTTCTTGGCTATAACTCACAATGCCCTTGGGCCTCTTACCAACCTACTCCGTTTCAAAGGCCAAAAATGTCAAAAATATTTGGGAGCTTTTATCTAATCCTTAAAAGATTTCAGGGGAAGCTGGGCATGGTAGCACACGCCTTTAATCCCAGCACTCAGGAGGCAGAGGCAGGCGGATCTCTATGAGTTCAAGGCCAGCCTGGTGTACATAACGAGGTCCAGGACAGCATGGGCTACCAGCAGACACTGTGTCAAATATAGCAAAAAAAAAAAAAAAAAAAAGATTTCAGGGTTACCTCTTCAGAGGGGGGAATCTCAGAGTAGCCCAAATCCCCATTTAAATAAAAATAAATCAAAGAAGAAAGAGTGCATAAAGTTATCAGAAAAAAGTGATGGGGAGATATGGGAGGAGTTGGAGAGGAGGGAGTGGGCATGGATTTAATCAAAATAAATTTATATACATGTATAAAATTCTCAATTATTTATTTTTTTTAAAAAAGAAACATTTGGGGACATTTTAAGGTGTTTTTTGTTTTGTTTTAAGGATGAATAAAGCACTAGCCAACAGGAGTTCCAGAATAGGAATTCAATCAACTGAGCAGAATTCAGAACAGAGGGGTTAAAACAACAAAAGAACAAAACCACACCTAGATCAGCTAATTAAGCTATTTATTTCAGAGTTAAAACCATGGAGCCAGTGGCAGTGAGAGAAGCATATTTCCCTTTCTGCCTGGGAGGAGTCCAGGGTGCCCTAGGCAGGGAAAGGACTCCTGCCTAGCCTATGTTAAGCTCTCCTGGCCTGTCCGCCAGGCCTCCTCCAAAGAAAAACTGCATAAAAAAAAAAAAAAAAAATCTAGGGCCAGGCGTGGTGCCGTGCACCTTTAATCCCAGCACTTGGGAGGGAGAGGCAGGCGGATCTCTGTAAATTCAAGGCCAACTTGGTCTACATAATGAGTTCCAAGACAGCTGGGGCTATAGGGAGACCCTGTCTCAAAAAGACCAAAAAAAAAAAAAAATTATATATGGAATCATAAAGGCAAGACCAAGGATCTTTCTGAGGCATATTTCTGTTTTTGTCTTAATAAACTATTCCTTTTACCCCCACTCAAGCCTAAAGCTGTACTTCAGCTTGTGAAAGCTATACAAAACCCTCTTCCTTTCTCATATGCATTCAAAATATAAATCTCTAAGCATTGCTTTCACTGCATTCCATAAATGTTGGAAAGCGGGCTTTTCTCTCAGTTCAAAGTATTTGGCTCAGTGGGTTAATATTTATGGTGTGTGTGTATCACAATGTACATATGGAGGTCAGATGACAACTTGCAGGAATTGGTTCTCTCCTTTCACCATGTAGGTTTATGGGTTCTAGGGATTGAACTCAGGTTGTCAGACTTGGTGGCAAGTGCCTTTTTTTTTAAACATATACATTGGTGTGGTTTGAGTAAGAAACGTCCCCCATAGGGTCATATAAGCTCAGGTACTTAGTCCTCAGCTGTTTGCACTGTTTGGAAAGGTTATGGAACCTTTAGGACATAGAGACCTGTTGGAGGAAGTATATCACTGGGTAAGGGCTTTGAGGTTTTATAGCTTGGCTCTACTTTCTATTCTGTCCTTCTGCTTCCTGTGTGCAGATGAAACATGCTCACTCTGTCCTCTGATTGCTAGGCCTGCTTCACACTCCTACTGCTATGCCTTGCCTGCCCTCTTCCCCCAAACTGTAAGCTAAAATAAATCTCTTTTTCCTCCAAGTTGTTTTCTGTCAGGGTGTTTTATCATAGCAATATAAAAGTTACTAATATACACATGACATGGTCACCTAGACCTGCATATTCATAAGACAGCTATCAAATACAGAATGAGACCATATCAAGTATCTTCCTTGTACACAATGGAATTACATAATAAACAAAGAAGAATAAGATAATTAGAAAAACATCAACTACTTAGAAATTCACAGCCCCCCAATATTGATTAGATCAAAGAAATCATATGAAAAATTAGGGCTTGAGAGACAGCTCAGCAGTTAAGAGCACTGGGTGCTCTTGCAGCAGACCTGAGTTCGGCTCCCAGCACCCACATGATGGCTCAAAACTGCCTGTAATTCCAGTTCCGGGGGAGCCAATGCCCCCTTCTGGCCTCTGTGGGTACTACATGCAGGTTGTGCACTCATGTGGAGACAAAACACAAACACACACAAAGAAATTTAATTTAAAAAATTAAATTAAAAAAAGGAGATATTTTGAACTAAATGATAAAAAAGCACATGAAAAATTTTTGAAATGCATCTAAACTTGATGGTACAACCTGTAAATCTCAGCTACTCAGGAGGTTAAAGCAAGAATACAACTTCAAAGCCAGCCTTAACCATAGAGTGAGTCTGAAGCCAGTCTGAACTGAGACCCTGTCTCAAAATAAAAGACACAAAAAGGGCTGAGGATATGACTCATGGGTGGGCACTTGCCTAGCATGCATGAGGTCTTAGATTCAATTCTCATTACAAAAAAAAGGGGGGGATGCATCTTAGACTGTACTTTGAGAAAGACTTGTAACTATAAATGTCTACAAGTAGAAATACTACAAATCAATGACCTAAGCTCCTACCTTTAGAAAGGAAAGGCTTCATATAGCCAACTTGAATGTGTACAAATTTGGTTCTATTGCTGGGTGTTGTGGCGCATGCCTTTAGTCCCTTGGGAGGCAGAGGCAGGAGGATCTCTGTGAGTTCAAGGCCGCCTGGTCTACATAGTGAGTTCCAGGCTAACTGGGGCTACAGGGAGACCCTGTCTGAAAAAGTCAAAACAAAAACAAAAATCCCACTAATTTGGGTCTATTATTCAAAAGAGCTTTTCTGAGGCTCAGAAATGATGTAAACTTTTTTGGTAAAAGGATCAAAGGGTAAACAACTGACATATTTAACTGAAGAAATAAAATAGTAAATGTGAGGACATGACATTATATGCTGACAGTGAGGAATAATATACTCAATGAAACAGGGCAGAGAGGAGTAAGGAGAAAAGGGCAGAAAGCAGAACAAGCCTCAATAGCTCAGAAACAAAATACTTAAAAGTTGATGAATTGAGTAGAATCAATAGAACAAAGAAAACATTAAAAGACTAGGTGTGATGACACAGGCCTATAATCCTAGCACTTGGGAGGCAGAGGCTGGGGGTCAGGAGTTTAAGACCATCTTCATCTACACAGTGAGTTTGAGGCCTGCCCTGGCTATATGAGAAGGCAGGGGGAAGGGAGGGAAAGATTCAATAAAAAGAATACTAATGATCCAAGTGTAGTCACTTGCACTTATAGTCCCAGCTACTAGGGAGGCTGAGGCTCAAGGATTACTTACTTGGTCATAGGTGTTTGAAACCTGCCTAGGCAACACAACAAGATGTAGATGGTTTCAGGAAAGGGCAACAGTGAGGAAATATTACTGACGAAAATTGAGGAGAGAAAAGGGAAGAGGCAAAGAAAAGGATAAAATAAAGAATGAGTATTTACTGTCAAAGCGCAAGAAGATATTCCATAAAGAAGGTAATGAAGGTGTGTGTGTAAAGGTACCAAAACATGTTATGACTGAAAACTACATTTTTCTTTTTAAAAAAAGCAAAGCAAGCTGGGTGTGGTGGCACACGCCTTTAATCCCAGCACTTGGGAGGCAGAGGCAGGTGGATCTCTGAGTTCAAGGCCAGCCTGGTCTACATAGCAAGTTCCAGGACAGCTGGGCTACAGGGAGACCCTGTCTCAAAAAAAGATGAGAAAAAAAAAAAAAGGCAAAGCAGCCAGGTGCTATGACACACACTTTTAATCCCAGCATTTGGGAGGCAGAGACAGGCAGATCTCTTGTGTTTGAGGCCAGTCTGGTCTACATAGTGAGTTCCAGGTCAACCAGAGCAACACAGTGAGACCCTGTCTATAAATAAATAAGTCAGTCAGTCAGTCAATCAATCAATCAATCAATCAATCAATCAATCAACTGACCAGCAAGGGAAAGCCTTTCAAGCAGGTAAGCCTATCAGGCAGGGGCTGTGTCTACCCTTGGAGAGGGCTGGACTATACACCATCACCTTATCTGCCTTCATTTCTAGCCCTCACTCTACCTACCAAGGGGAGGACTAGAAGGTCATGCCTGTACCAGCCTCCAGCTTATGCTCACCTGTCTGGCAATTTCTCAATACTTCTGATTCTTCAGCCCCCAGAAGATCCAGGACCCACAGTTCCTCTTCTTGCTCCAGCTGGGAGATCAGCTCTGGCTTAGGGATGGGGAATCCTGTTAAGAGTGAGGACCCTCAGTGAATTGCCATAGTCTGAGGAGATGGGGCAGAACCCTGCCTGCTGAGTCTTCCACACCAGATGAAGAATACACTCTGCCTGCATGGATGCACTGATCAGGAGAGACCAGGGGCAGGAGTTCAAATGCCTAAGAACCACTCATTAGTTGGGGAGGGGACTAATACTGTGAAGTCAGTGGCAAACAAGGAAAAAAGCCCCTAGAACCGGGTAGACTGGTACCTGGGGACAAGAACAGTATCCTCTTTTCTTTGGAAAAGCTGAAGAGCCAAATCAGCCCTCAAGTCCCTTATAGACCCCACAGTGAGCCAGGGCACCAGGGCAGTGCTCACCCAGTGAGGCCACATTCCCATAGTTCTCCAGCATCACATCCCGGTACAGCGCCCGCTCCTGGGGGCCCAGCTGCTGTCCTTCTGCCCGGGAGAAGTACACAGCCACATCCTGGAAGGTCAGAGGCATCTCGCCCTGGAATGACAAGATGCTGAGAGTGCACCAGGGATGTGGCTTCTTGATCTCTGATGGGGCAGCAGAGCTGAAACCAGTGGTCCCCTCGGATGCAGAGCTACGATCCCCGTCAGAGGGTATGGTCTGCATCCTGATCCTTTCCAGCTTCACTACTCAGCTCACAGCTCTGGAGAGTCAGCTTCTGACTACGGCAGTAAGAAGTAAGATTAACTCACCGGAGCCCGGGAGCAGGACTTGGCTGCCATCTGGGCCGTGAACCACCTTGGAATCCGTGGCAGGCAGGAGAGACAGCCCTGGCCTGTGGCCTCCCAACTCACTCTCAGGGAGAGAAAACAGAAAAACTAAGCCCCATTAATCTGGGGCCCTGGACCGATGACCATCAGACAGACCTCATTTCTGAAGTGGCCTCCTGGGGCATACTGAAGCCATGAAACCGGCGTTTGATCTCCAGTCCTGAGCTGCTATCCAGATTGAGACCTGCCAGGAGCAGGGTGCAAGCTGGCAGTTCCAGCAGTCCACCAGGCCCTGGAGTGGGCGCATAGCGCCGCCTCAGCCTCGGAAGGCCAGCCTGGGCAAAGAGGCGCACCGCGGACGGCCACACGAGGTTGCGGATGTGAGGGGACACCAAGTGGGTGGCGAAGACCAGCTCTGGGCAAAACCTAAAGCCCATGGTCCTTCCCTTCCATGCCTCCCAAGACCAGGTCCTAGCCGGCGGCTCGTCCTCCCAGCCGCTGGGTGTCCCGCCGCCCCGCCGCCTCTTCCGCCATCCCTCCTCCCTGGCGTCCGGGCATCACCAGAGCCCTCCGCTAGGCGCTCCGCCTGGGCAGCCCTCCTTGAAGCCCTCCGCTAGGCGCGGCCTGGCCACAGCTCGACACCTCCCGATCGATCTGCCCGCGGCCCCCGGTGCCCATCACACCGTGGCGGAACCGCGGGAGCCTCACCTCAGCTTGGGCCCTCTGAACCGGCCACCCACTTCCACCCGGCCCTTGCCCGCGCAGTGTGGCCAGCAGTGGCGACGCGCCGGGGGTGGGGTGGGGTGGCGAAGTGGCCAAGCTGCGCACGCGCTGCCGCGACGCTGAGCACTTCCGGAGCTACTCTAGGATGGCCGGAGGACAGCGCGCCTGTCGCGCAGTAGTCGGGCGGGATGCGGAACATCCTTGGTGCTGACCACCCTCCTACAAGGGCAATTTGTAGCAGCCACGAAGTCACACCTGAAGGGCGTGCTAACAACACCTGCAGGACGTGCTAACAACTCAGCACTAGGTTGCTGAGGCGAATTCCAGGCTAATTTGAAATACATAGCAAGACCC